CCCTCCATCCCGGCTGGATGCACACGGAGACGGTAGCGTGTCCGACGCCCACACTGTGCAATCTTTGTCTCCCTCAACACAGAGCTGTGACAAAGCCCTGGGAACTCTTTCCTCCTGATTTTAGCCCAGCCACTCCGTTTTTTAGGTTCCTACAAATCCCTGCCTCTGCTCCTTCCTCTGAATAATGGGAATAATATTTACCACCTCCCACTGGGAATCTGAAGGATTATGTGGCAACCCTCCTGGAGAAAGCATGGACTTCAAAGACATTTATAATAACACACATTATCTTTACACCACATCTATAATTACAGCCAAGTACAGTTTATCTTGAGAAACTGGAAAATCTCTCACATCTTGGGGTTATTTTGTGCTTTAAAGCACTCCCTGCTCCAGCACGGCTCTGCAACCCGAGCAGGAGCAGCTTTGGAAAGGCTTTTGGACCTTTTTTTATCGTTATTAGTATGAAAATCAGGAGAGTCTTTGTTAAGGTGCCCAAACTGGATCCCCAGTGATCCTGCAACCCGTCATTATCAGGCACCACGAGTCACCTAAGGGCTGAGCTGCCCTGGAACTTATCCCAGCTGCTCCAATGAATGCTGCATCCCAGAAGCTGTGTCAAAGGCTGGCAGATCCAGTGCCAAAGGTTCTACTGGCCAGCTCAGCTCTGCTGTCCCCACCCAACTCAGCCCGGTTTGTGTCTGGTCCTTTACTGAGGAGCAGTGTCACAGCCCTCAAGATTCCACAGAGGAGTAGGCTCTGGGATCTAGGGGAAGGAACGAGCAGCTTCTGCTCCAAACACAGAGCCAGCACAAAACCAGTGAGGAATTAGGGCCAGACAAGGATCCCGGTGTCAGTTCCCAGACTCCCAGGTACTGCTGGGGCAGAGCAGCCTGTGGTCCACTTCACCTGGCACCTCCGTGCAGGACAGACAACTCCTGGCTTTCCAAAGCTTTCCCACCTGACTGAAGGCAGCACCTTGTTCCAACCCCCAAATATCAGCACGGGCTCTCAAACCCACCCAGCTTACAGACATGCTCCAACATGGGCAGAACACTGGGATTTCATTCCTTAGAAACACCTGAATCATTCCTCCCTGCTTGGCCCAGATTCTCCTCCTTCTCCATGAATTCCCAGAACTGTGTTCCCCTGTGTTTACCTATGAACCCTCTGCTGCAGTTTCAGCCCAGTTTCCGAGCAGCACGTGGCTCTGGACACCCAATCCCTGAGCCACATTCCCATTTAACCTGATCCTTCCCTCCTGGACAGGCTGTGTCCTTCCCCTCGGGTTAACCAAGGCACTGCATCGCACTCACCTGTGCCAGGTGCAGTCACTGGGCTTACCTGGGTTAGGACTGAGGCAGAGTCACTTCCACGAGGAAATTCCCGTCTCTTCCTCCCCCCAGCTCACTTTATTCCTCCTCTTTCCCGGAGCAGCTGTGAGTACTACGTGAACGACGCGCCGCGCGTGGTCCTGGACAAGCTGGAGAAGCTCGGCTATCGCGTGGTCAGCATGACTGGCGTGGGCCAGACCCTGGTCTGGTGCCTCCACAGGGAATAGCCAGGAAGAATCCTGCCTTCCACCCGGCCCAGATCCTGCTGGACATCATCTCTACAGGACTGACAGCGAATTTTTCCCCCCTTCATTCCTTCCTGTCCCAGACTCCCGGCGCTCGGGCGGGGAGAGGAGCGGCGCAGAGGCAGAGCTGGACCCAGTGGGATTTTGCCATCCTTGTCGTTTCCCAAGAGCATGGGGAGGAAAGGATGCCCAAAAATCAGGCAGAGGGAACAGATGGCTCCAGCTCTGCCTTCAGCAGGATGGCAGTCTGGCAAATTCCAGCTTTTTACATTTTAATCATCTATTTAGCATGCCTTGGAGGAAGCTCAGTAACAGACCTGTCTGCCTTCTCTCGGGCTGCCTGGAGAGGTCCGTGCCTTCTCCCGGGCCAGGGAGGTTACAGGGGGACACCAGGCATGGAGAGCATCCCATCTCATCCCTGAAATCTGAGGGGGAACCACTAAACCTACCCAGTGGTCCGAGAATCCCTCCCTTGGCAGCAAGGCCCGCTTCCATCTCACACAGGATTGTGGTCAGCAGCATCTTCAGACTTCCAGATCCCAGAGTGCCGTACAAACATAAGACAGAGTTCCCAGAATAGCACAGAAAGGTGTTGTGAGCGTTCCAGGTGCAGGCCCTAATCCCACTGCTGGAATGTTTGGGGCTGTGTACGGATCCTGCTGTAGGGGTAACACCAATAAAGCTTTGCTCTAAAGACACCAGAGTCCTTCTGTGGGTTGTTTGAAGCTGCAGCCAAATCCTTCTGGATGCACAGCTCCCAGACAAGATTCCAGGGATTAAAAGCTCCAAGGTTTGGTGTTCTGATGTCACCCCTCACACCCTGTCCCATGGGATGGGGCAGCTGCTCTGGACACACACTGACAGGGTAATACCTGCACACTGAAGCCATTTCCTTCCCCAAACCTGGAAAAGGACAAAGGCCGCAGTCCCCAGGAGTTTGTATTCCCACACCAGCTTTAAAAAAGGAGGTTTATTGACTTAAATTAAGAAAGAGCTCAGGGTGGGGGGGTGGAGGGGTAGGGAGAATCCATACTGTCACGCTAAGTGTGAGACTCTTCCTCGTCTTCCCGCCGGAGCTGCTCGATGAGCTGCTGCCTCTCGGCTGCCTGGCGCATCCTCATCATCACCAGGCTCTCGTAGTCCCGCTCCGACACCACGGATGCCTGGCAGGGAGCAGGAAACACACACAACCCATCAGGGACAGTGCAGACCCAGCTCCCCTCTCCCCAAATCCCCCCTCACAACACGGGAGTTCTGGGCAGGAAGCAGTTTGATCCCACAGAGATCGGGTGAGGTGTGAAAGCTGCCTGGCCGCAGAAAACAAGCTGATGGGGAAAGCAGGACACACAGAGAGCCTGCATTCCTGAATTCCCCTCTTGCTGCCAGAGCTGCTCCCTGCTCCCCACGAGGCTGGATGAGGCATTATTTTGGATGATGAGCTCACCCTGCACCTGCACCACGCTGCGGCCCAAAGTCCAGCGTACACTTCACCCGTTATAAAGGCTGACGTCATAAAAACATCCAACCTCCGTGGATCAGTCATGGAACTGGTAACTCCCAGCCGACTGAGGGTGGTGAGGGCCTGGCACAGGTTGCCCAGAAAAGCTGTGGATCCCTGGAAATGTCCAAGGCCAGGGCTTGAAGCAACCTGGGCCAGTGGAAGGGTGTCCCTGACAATGGCAGGGGAGCGGAACTGGATGATCCGTAAAGTCCCTTCCGACCCAAACCATTCCTGATTCTGTGATTGTAACGGTTGGAATTGATGATATTAGAGGTCTTTTCCAACCTGGAAAAAAATTCTAAGTGGCTGCAGAAAGAAAACCACCAGGTATGTTCCCAAACCTGACGCAGGAAGGGAATAGTTTTCCAAAGCTCCCAGAGCCTTCCTGCTGAGTGTGGCAGCAACTGTCACGTGAACCCAGCTGATTGCAGACTCTGCCTAATGAACGTGGGCAGCAGATGACAGCTGCTCCAGTGCTTTGGAACTCTGCTTCCAAAGCCATTCCACACTGGTAGGTGGCCGTGCTATTTTGGATGTATGAAAGCACTGCAAGGCTTGGAAACATCCATCTCATTCCTTGACAGTTCAAGCAGAAACAAGTGTCTTGACAGGAGGTGAATGGAAAAAAACCCCAAACCCTCACGTTCATTCTTCTAGGAACTGGGTTTAGTGGTGATTTCAGAAAGTCATGGAATCACAGAATGGTTTCGTTTGGAAGGGACCTCAAAGATTATCTGGTTCCAACCCCCTGCCATGGGCAGGGACACCTTCCACTAGCCCAGGTTGCTCCAAGCTCTGTCCAACCTGTCCTTGGACACTTCCAGGGATGGGGCAGCCACAGCTTCTCTGGGTACTTAAGGACATCTTAGGAAGCAGCAGGGATACAAGGGCAATAGAATGGTTAAGTAAGACTCTGCATGAAAATGGGGCAAGTGTAATTTGTTATCAAGTGCCAGCAAAGTGGTTCCTCCGGCTGTGAGGACAAAATAGAAGCCCCACAACAGATGAGGAACGTCGAGTGGGAAATTAGGAGTCTAACTGGTGTCTTAGGAACCAGATGAGTGAAATGACCTTTGGGTGCTGGCAGCACCAGTGTCTCAGAAAGCACTTGTGAGTATTGGCCCTCAGCAGCAGAGCCAGGATCCTCCCCAGTCCTGTCCACCAACCCCAGGGATTTGCTGGGCTGGATGGAAGAGGCTGTGTGAGACTCATGCAGATGAATCACCCACACAAACCTGAATCCCCACCTTGCACAGGGATTGAAATTTAAAACAGACAAGAGACTATTCCCAGCCTGGTTTGGGAGCCCTGCTGACACACGGAGCCCTCAGAGTGGCAGGAGGGAGGAGAAGAGCCTGATCCAGGTGGGCTCCAAGCTGGCAGCTCCCAGCAGTCCGGGTGCCTCCGAGGAGCTCTCCTGCTCCTCAGGCAGCGTGGGCTGAGGCTTTGCCACTCCACACACCTACTTCCTGCAATCTTGGCAATTACCAATCGTGTAAAACCCAGTTCCTGACGTGGCTGACTCAGCAAGGGCTTGGCTCAAAACAAACACATCCGAGCAGGAGCTGCAGCCCGGGAAGAGGCGACGGGCGGCACACGAAGAGACGGCGGCAGCTTCGGGGATTTTTACCATTCTGGGTCCAACCTGGCTGAATTCCCGAACTCCCGGCTCAGCTGTCCCCAGACTCGCTCCTTCATCCTAGTGAGCGTGGCAGGCACAGTTCTCCGAGTGCTCCAGCAGCTTCTCCTCCGCGCCCTCGGACTCGGGGCTGCTCCGACACGGCGTAAGTGTCCTTTGCATTCAGTCCTCCCGACATCTGCCTTTCACGGTGTCGCTTTTTACATCCCCCTTCGCCTGTATTTCCTTGGCTCCTCCAGTGGGACTGAGTCACCGTCTCCTTCCCAACCACCCACTGGATTTTCCGGCGGTGCCCCTCCGCAGAAGGTGGCTGGTTACCATGGCACCCGGGTGCCCTTCTGTTCTAGATGCCAGATTAGATCTGTTCTCATGGTGACTGTGCCTTGCTGTTCCTCACCAGCACACGTTTAACGAGCTCAGACACCGTGTTCCTTCTCCACTCAAGGAGGAGACTCCTTAAGATCCAAGACAAGCCAACTGCTCCTTACCACAGCGTGGAGTCTGCATTTCCTGCACTACCAGCCTCTCTGTTTTCCTTCCAGCTACGGGAACGGGGCAGGAAGAGGCTGTTCCTGCTGCGTGGCTCGCTGCTGATCCCGTGGCTTAAGTCCAGCACCTGCCTGTGAGGAGTCAGCAGGTCCCTTCTCCTCACTGCCTTCCCTCAGCATGGATACCTGGCGCAGAGGGTCCATCAAGTCCACCACGTTCTTCAGACGTTTCTCCCTCAGGAGGCACAAAAAGCTGGGCAACCAAGTCATCATCCTGAACCAGAACAGCCACACTCTGGACACTGACGGCCAGAAGAGGGAAGGCTTGAGGGATCTGAAGGACAAGTCTGATTACCTGTCGTGCCAGAGCGAGCAGAACCTGGCCAAGGCACAAGCCCCTCCCAAGCCTCCCCGGCTGTACCTGGACAGTTCCAGCTGCCCCAACATCATCGACCACACCGACTCCCACTCCGATATCTCCTTTTCCGACGCTGCTCAGTACCACAAAGGCACTCAAACGCACAAGGACCAGGCTACAGACCACGGGACCTCAGAGGCAGGTTCCCAGAACGGCACCACTCTTCCCGACCTGGCTGACCCCTTCCTGTCCTTCAAAGTGGATTTGGGGCTATCGCTCCTCGAGGACGTCCTGCAGACCCTCAGGAAACAGAACCCAAGAGATTATGCCATCTGAAGGTATTTATCATTCACCACATCCCATTTACCCGATGCTGCTGCCGGTCCCTCTGATCCCAGCAGGAGGAAGGATGCTGGAGCATGCCTGTCGTGTGTGGCCTGTTTTGTTGTCCTCACCCACCACAGACCATCCCTGTCCTTGCCAAGGAATCCTCTGGAGCAGAGCTCAGGTGAGAGCACTGTTTCCACTCTTCACCCTGGGAATCTCCCACTCGGGACTGTGTGTCTCCTCCTCAGGGAAGAACGGCATCGTTTGGGAAAGACTTGTTATTTTGGGGATGTGGCTGTGACACTGCGGGGCAGGGACACACAGGGACTTGGCATGGATCCCTTGTGGGACAGCAGGCAGCCTGCAAGGAGACAGCAGCACTGCACCTTAAAGCCACAGGTGTGGCAAGGGCCGAGAGACGGGAACTGGGGGTTCTTCTCCCACCGTGTCTGGATGTGAAAAATCAAAGCTGTTCCTCCTTTTTTTTTTTTTTTTTTCTTCCTCCTTGTGGGTTTCTTTTCCCCCAGCTCCAGTGCAGCTGGCACTCCCAGCCTGGAAACAGGTAAGCATCCACTCGTGCTCGTGATAGAGCACCAGCAGTGGGTTTATCCTCCTGGCAGGGGAGAGGAGATGTCTCCACACACTGCTGCCTCACGCATGCACTGAGCTCCCAGCTGTACAGACATGGAAGAATAAATGTATTTGTGACTGGAAGTGTCTGGTTGCCTCATTTAGTTGGTAACAAGCCACAGAATGCCAAGGCACCAGGAGCACAGGGTATCTGGAGTGGCCCAGATCCATCCTCCCCGGCACTGCAGGTTTTTCTGAAGGAGGGGAAGCAGCGTGGCTCTGTTTTTCTGGGCTGGGGGAAGGAGAGAGCTGCTGGGACTTGATTTTCCCCAAAGGAGAGCTCACCCAGCTCAGGGCAAGACCCAGTTCTTCACCCCTAAGCTGGAGAGTGGGAAGGGCTCTGCCAGGCTGAGAACATTTTGGGCAGCATCAGGGCAAACTGTTGAAAGGACACTGCAGAAACTACTGCAGTAGTCACCAATTCTTACCTTTCTGACTGGCTAGATATTAGGGCTCTCTTAAAAAACAACAATAATAAAACCTCCATGCCCCCAGACAACCAGGAGCTTTGGAAGTGGCTACAGTAAAGTGCAGGGACATTCCAGAGCCGGCACAGCCGGCTCTTACCCTGTTAGATTCACCTCTCAAAGCCTGGTAATATGAAAAAAACTCTCTGAAACCTCCAAGAAGCTTAGAAAAGGTGCAAGGATGCCAGGCAGGAGGCTTTTCTCAGGGCTGAAGAGCACTGGCAGGGAGATCCTACTGAAGGAGCAGGGAAAACCTTCCCAAACCTGAGTGCTCCACGCAAAACAAGCTCCTCACTGCACTGCACAGCCACTGTGTGCTCTGAACCATCACACAGGCATTGCTCTCAATAGCCTGGAGTAACACTGGCCAAGCCACAGCTTTTGTAATCCAAGGGGAAGTCGCCTGCTTGGCTCCAGCAGCTCTCCAGGAACTGCTGGACAACGTGCACCCGTGGCCGTAGGAGAACAAGTAGCCTGCGACTTATTGCCTCCTCCCAGCACAACAGCCAGCCTCGCTTCCACATGGGAAGCACTTCCAAACCCCCTGGGTAGGGTCTGACTGTCCTTTACCCACAGATTTTGGGCAAATATAAGCTCCTGGCTGCCTGTCCCAGGTGGGGAGCACCGGGATGACTATCCCAGAGGATGAGTGGCGAGCGCGTTGCCATGAGAACGCTGCGGGTCTTGGGCTGTTTGCTGAAGCAGAGCAGGGAAGTAGCTGCCTTTGCACGGGGTGGGAACAAAACGGGGGTGGATTCAGACAAAAAGAGGGGGGAAGCAAATAGGAAGCGAGGGCAGCTTGAATCAGAATGAGATTTGTGCAGCTAGGAAGCAAGAATGTGGAGTCTGGTGGCTGGGAAGCCGGGCTGGGTGTGAAAGGAAGAGGCAGGAGCAACAGGGATCTGGAAGCTCATCCTGCACAGTCTAGAGCTGGAGCAAAACAGCCAAGAGGAGCTATTAGCACACTAATCATCCTGTGGAAACATCCTGGTGGATGCAGCAGGAGCAGGGTTTTGAGAGGGTCTGGAGCAGGCACTAGGAAAAGTGGGAAGCAGAAGAGAGCAGAGCATCTTAGAGATGCAAGGTTGAAACGTAATCCCAGAAATTGCAGTTGCTTACAGAAAAAAAAGCAGCAGAAAGGACAGCCAAGCATCAGTAGTGCAGTTCCTGGGAAGGATGCATGGCCCTGGAAGCAACTCCTCCCCATCCTGAGAACCAGGATGGGATTGAGGAGGCTGTGCTGGGCAGAGGTGGGTCACCATGAACCCCTCGTGCTGCTTTCCTGCTCTCCCTGCTGCCCCAACCACAGACAGACACTGCACTTCCACAATAACAAGCTCTGGGCATGGGAACAGGCCAGGATAAACTCAGGGATCTGAACCCACACAGGTTGGAATCCACCACCAAGCTCCAACTGCAACGGCAACACCCTTTGGCAGGAATGAGCCACTTCTCACTCTCTCCTAATGAGAAATTCTCAAATAAAGTGGTTAGGAATCCTTTTTTTGCCCCAATTTCCTTTCTACCACTCTGGTCCCTTCTCTGAATCTCCTGTGGCTGCAGGACTCTCCCAGATTCTACATGGATAGAACAACAATCAGGCATTCTGATGTATAAATGCCAATAACATAAACAAAGTATTGGCAAAAAAGTCAAGAGTGAATGTACTGAACAATCTCACAGGCTTAAAATATTTAGGGAGTGAACACACAAAAGGCTGATGGAGACACACAGCTTAAGGGCAACTGGACAGCACGAGGCAGGAGCCCTCTCAGCAATGAGATTTCTGGATCTTTATACCACAGGGAAGGAGGAGAGGAGGGTAAGTGTCATGTGAAGTTTGAACCAGGTCTCTTCCCACCTTCCCAGCCAAGGAAATGGTTAAGTAAGCTAGAAGACATGCAGCTTGCACTCAGAGTAACCACACTGGTGTGGAGGACCAAACCCAGACAACGAGGTCTCTAGAAGGGTATTTAGCTTGATATTGCTTTCTCCTCCCTCCTGCAGACCCTAAAATTAGAGGTTTCCTTCCACCACTGAAATTTCCTTCTCCTGTGAAAGCAGTAACCAAGACTGCCTAAAAAAACCTTCATTTCAGCAGCTCTCAGCCAGAGAATTCCCACAGTCAACACCTATTAACAAATCCCAGCAGAATGGCATTGGAGGCTTTGGGCTGAGCAAGGAACATCCCTGTTCCTCACTTGGAAGACAGTGAGTGTGTGAAGATCCAGTCATCCAAAAGCTCCAGTTCTCTTTAAAAAAGCCACTGGTCCAGCACAGAAAAGCTGGTGGGAAAGCCAGGCCTGGCATCAAGTGTTTCTTTGCAGCTCATATTTGCCCATAAGTACAAAGCACACTGAAATTTAGGTTGCTACAGCAACGAATTTAAATACCACAGTCCATGTCTCCTTACCTGTGAGGTCCTGGGCTGGCTGGTGCTGTCAGAGAAGACAGTGCTGGGGTGGCTCCGGGGCTGCCCCTCCAGCCAGGAAATCTTCAGAGGGTTGTTTATCAGGCCAACTTCATTCTTCACAGCCATCTCCTAGCAAGGAAAATATTCTTCCATCACCACCTGAATTGCAGGCCCCGCTCCCTCACAGGTCCCTAAGGATCACTTTCCCATCTCAGACAGGCCTCAAGGCCAAGTGGGGCACAAACAAGGAAGATCCATCCCTGGAAGTGTCCAAGGTCAGGCTGGATGGACCTCTGAGCAGCCTGGGCTAGTGGCAGGTGTCCCTGCCCATGGCAGTGGGTGGAACTCGATGGGCTTTAAGGCCCCTTCTGACCTAAAGTGTTCTGTGATTGCATTTGTTAAGATCTGCTGCAATCAGATCATCTTTAAGGCACTTTTATGGTCCTTATCTGCACTGAGCACAGACAGAACATACCCCTGCCACATCTTCAGACAAACAGGTCACACACAGTTCTGAGCTGGTTTTCCTTTTGATCTTTTGGATGTGAGTGAAAGAACAGGTGACAAGGAACACAGGCTCCTGCACAGAGTAAGTTGATGGAACTACTAAAATTAAGGGTAACTGATGATTTCTGTTCCCACAACCACGTGAGTTATTAAAACTCACAGTGAGCCAGGACATTTTGATTTGTTTTTCACTGCAAACGCCTGGTATCACCCCTAAAAGCACAAAAGCCCAACTCCAAGGTAATTCACCTTCAGTGGGAGCTGATTAAATGCTCAGTGCCTGATTTTTCAGGCACTGCCTCTTCCCTCAGCCTGTTCCGCGCACAACCTGTTTATGTGCCTGGTCTGTTCTGGGTCTGTGCCTCCAGCTCTGCCACTCCCTTCATCCCTCTGTGCCTTCAGACTCTCATTAGCCTTCTCCACTGCCTTAATGACCTGGGTTGTCACCCTGTGACCTGTCCCCTCCTGTGACATCCCCCCACACACACACCCAGCTGGGGCTCTGCACACTCACCGCCGCCTTCACCGTAGCAAATTCCACCACTGCACTCCCAGTCTTCCTGCTGGAGATCACCAAATTGAGCACATCTCCATACTGGTCAAAGAAAGAAGGGGGAAAAAAGTTAATTACAGACCCAGGAGAGACGTGGAGTTCATTTATTAAACGAACACAAAGAGAAAACATGTGTTTTCACAGGCATGAGGTTGAGTTGCCACCATTTCTGTCCCACGTGATGCTTCCACCAACCCCAACCTGCCATAATTTCTGTCCCTCCAGGAAACAATCCTAGAGAGGCACAGAGCAACACACTTGGCTTCCAGCAAGCCCCAGTGCAAGAGGGATGCTCAGCTCTGAGCCAGAGCTACAGGAGGCACTTGCAGGGAGGGAAAACAAAGCTGCCACGCTGGGACTAATCAGGTCAAAGGCTTGTCTGCTCCTGTCTCTGCACTTCCCACAGCAGGGCAGAGGTGTTAGCTGGGAAACAGCTCCCAGCTCACGGATCAAAGGATCAAACTCGGTTCAAAGGTTGGAGGTGATGATCTTGGAGGTCTTTTCCAACTTAATGATTGCATGAACATGCTGATGATTTCTGAAAATTGCACGAGAAAGCTGAACAGAGATGAAAATCAGCCACCTCAGTTTATATCTCACCAGGGCCTGGCGTGACAGGACATGGGGAAATGGCTTCACACTGACAGGGAATAGGGTTAGACTGGGAAAAAATTGTTCCCTGTGAGGGTGGGGAGGCCCTGGCACAGGTTGCCCAGAGAAGCTGTGGCTGCCCCATCCCTGGAAGTGTCCAAGGCCAGGCTGGAGCAACCTGGGCTGGTGGAAGGGAGGTGGGACTGGATGGGCTTTAAGGTCCGTTCCAATCCAAACCATTTCATTGTTCCATGATTTTATGATATGCAGCTTCCCAGAATTCATTATCCTTATACCAGAGAGGAGGGGAAGACCCAGCAGTAGGAAAGTGAGTGTGAGACGGGACCTTTTGCAGGATCTGCAGCAGCACATCTTTGGAGTATCCCCCTCCCGTCTCATCTTCTTTCCTGCATTTCCATCTGAGCTGGGAAATAAAAGACCAGGAGTTAATTTTGTCTGTTTGAATGCACTGCTGTGTTCAACGCTGCTCCCACCCCCTGCACATTCCCCACGTTTGCTATTTACAGCCACACTCCCAGGACTGCCAAGACAG